CATCCTTTTGTCATGATTGTTACAGGATAGATGAAGACAGGATTCAGGCACTTAAGAACTATCTAATTTTATCTGTAAAGCCCCTGCCACCACTTGGTGCTGTGTAGGTCATAAATAATAGGCAAGGAAGGACTTGATAACAGACTTCAAGTACATAAAAGATTGTTATAAAATGGAAGGGAACAATCTGTTCTCCATGTGGAAATAATGACAGGAAATAATGGACTTCAACTGCAATGAAAAATATCCAGGTTATACAATAAAAAAGCTTTTTAATGGTTGGATGACTGAATGGGTTGTCTGGAGAAGTTTTGGAGCCTCCATCATGGTTTTAAGTAAAAGGGTTAGTGAAATATCTGTCTGGGATGATGTAAAAAGCTGAGTGTGTCCTAGAGCAGGAGAGAAGGGAGAGATGATTTTTCTAGGTCTTTCCAGCCTTATTGTGGTCTTCTGATGGTATCAAAGATACAAAAAATTGATGACAGGCTGTCTCATACACAGCAGGGTTTGTCAAATCACTTTCATGCACTGCTAAGACAGCTTCATCTTCAAAATCTTCCTGGCTGACAGTTGTCAAAGCCCCACTGCTTTAGCATTCTGATATGGGGCAGTTATCATTTCTTTTGGCAGTTGCTCATCTTCTTTCCAAACTGAATAGCCCTAGAAAAAAAACAGACATTACCAGTGACTAGCAGCTGGTAGATTCAGCTTGGATTCATGCAGCCTAAATCTAGCACATCACGTTCAGCTCCTTCTGTAGTCAACAGAGAGAAAAAAGACCTCCAGAGAGTGCTTTAAGTCTTACCTGCCCTGAATTACCTTCTGGAGTGTCTTTGACTATTCAAGGAACTATGGGTGACTACGATCCTGATTTAGGACTAGAATCAGGTTTACTGTCTCAGTTAAATAGGATGATCTCGGTCCACAGAAGATAAAGAAATATAGCACTTCTGTGGTCACAGTGTGCTGGAAGAATGCAGTGCAGTACGGGGCAGTTTACTGCTCCGTCCTCTTTCACAAATTACATCCTAAGGCATTTTTCTTCATACTCTGGGTGATGCTCATTTTGTTTCCAGGAAGACGCTTCAGCGGTTGGCTGATTCAGTTATATCTGGTTTTAGACACTGGCTGTTGCTACAGCCAAGTAGTAAAACCAAAAATGATGGCACAGTGTTTATATAGGAAGTAATTGGGTAGTCCTGATAGCTGCCAACAGCGTTTTGTGCAAGGCGAGTCATGCAAGCATAAATGCATATCTGTCTCTGGTTTATAAACTTCCTATTCTGATGGAGAGAGAGGATCTTGGTTTGTGCTTCCCAGGCACCCAGCTGCAGTCTCATCACCTACACTTAGTGTCACTGTAAAAAACAACTCCTCTGTTGATGAACTGAGATGGTTTCATGCAGTGATGGAAACTCGAGTTGACCTGAGAGTGACCATGATCAAAAAGGGGAATCAGCTTACTGCAACAGGGAATTCTTTTTGTGTATGATCATCCAAGCCTTAGTTATGAGATGCAGCAGGAAAGGGGCCGTGTACAAGAATCTTGCTAGGTTACATGTATTCTGCATCCAAGTCCTCCAGCTGAGATGGCACTCAGCTCTCACACTGCTTTGCAGCAAAAGCAAGACTCTAAAAGTAGAAGTCTAAAATTATGCTCCATTTTTTGGCATTTAAGCAAACAGCCTCTTTTCAGTAGAATGTGTTAGAGCTTACATTGAGGTCAGCAGAAGCTCTTTAAATGCTTACAGTCTGGGGAACTGAGCTACTGCTATTTGGTGCTCAGCTTAGGTTAAGAAGCCTGATTTTAGAGGACCTTTATTTAAAAACCATGAAGGTGGACTGATACTGCTTGGTTTGAGAGCAAGGTAAATAAGGAATAGCTGTGTGAAAATCTGTTGATTTAGTCCAGTATAAAAGTTGCTTTGTCAAAACATAAGCCTCTGTTCTGATCTTAAGATGTCAGGAGATCCTAAAAACAACTGAGCTGCTCAAACCAATAACATACCTGGCTGAATATCTATTTTCAGTTGTGACCAGGAGGAGATGTTTGTGAAAGATTTAAATTAGTACGTCGTGGGTAAAGTGGTTCTTCCTCTGATACACCTCTAAGCTTTCAGCAGGGAAGAGCTTAATTAGGTCAATTAATTATAGCAGAGATTATACTGGGAACATGAGTATGAAATTTCACGTCTCTGGACACAAAATATTGTTTATTAAAATAAATCCTGTAAAAGTTCTACCATTCCCCAACTGTTGCTGCTTTATGACAAGACCTTTGAAAAAGCAGTATTTTTTTTGTCTATCCTATGTACAACACCAGGTGAAGATATACGTGGGAGGCCACTTACCAAGTTAGAAATAGCTATGCTATTTAGTTAATGTTTTTGCAAGTCCCTTTTGCTATCTCCTTGGAATAACTTCAGTTTGATCCTTGGTCCATTCACTGTTTGAGAGGCTGGGGTGTCTATTAACCTAGGGGAAAGATGGGAAACTACCAGGTACACTGTGTTCAGTTTAGAGAATAAGGTACCCTGGGGAAACAGGGACTGACTGCAAAATCAGATCAGAAATTGGGGACTGATGCAACTTCTAGTAAGAAGAGCCAGGAGAGCTGGTGTCTTAGTTTGGGAAGCAAAGAACAAGCGCCTGGAAGTATCTGTACTTCCCTCATTTGTCTGGTGCAAGACACGTCCTTGGGGCAAATTTGTGTCTCAGTAGTCACGACCTTGGAGAAGATCTTGAAAGAAGAATCGTTGTGGTTTCCTTGAGAAAGGAATTTGTGGCTTTGTAGAGGGTTTTTGTTGTTGGTTTTTTTAATTGGCAACTTAATTTCTTTTAAGGGCGAGACAAGTTTAAAATCTAAATAGTTTTTACTGGCTGATAGGACACTGATGTCTTGTAGTGGGAACAAGTAATATCCACCCATAACACAGATCCTTTTCCCCCCCAAGCTGTAAGGTGTCAGTGGATTTTTTTCTTTATTTTAGTAAAACCTCCTCTCCCTGCTACTTCCCTCCCTTGTTTTATCCTAGTTGAAAATCCAAACAATATTGCTTATTCCTTTATGTTCTGTCAATCTCTGTTGATCATCTTCTTTCTCTTGAATATACTTCTAACCCTTTCTCTTGAAAATACTTCTCCTGAAGTATTTTTGGCCACGTCTCCCTTGCTGTATAGCACAGGGAGCCTGGACCCACTGTAAATAACAGCGTCATCTTCTTCTAGAGTGTTTCTTCCTGATGGTTATTGGTGACCACCTCACCCAGCACAGGAATGCTTCTACTCGTGTGTGTGTGTGTGTACGACTTCAAAGCTTATTTCTGGCATTGACAGTGAGTGTGGTGGATCTTGCTAGAAAAAAAGGCCAGTTTGCCCTTTTTCTGCAATGTTTGGCTGACTTGTTTGTCCCAGCTGAAAGCATCCATTTTAAGGATAGTAGCCATGCTAGCAGTATGGTCATGAAGAGGTTTTATTTCCTGCAAAGATGGTTGCTTAATTAGCAGATACCAGTTAATTGGCGAGTACCTGCATGAGGAATAGGGAAACAATCTATTTTGGAAGTCCTCAGGCTGTTTCACAGCTGTTGGTGTGAGATCTCCAACTTGTCCTTGTTTTTTTTCAGTGAGACAGATCAAGCTAGTGAAAGGTCTTCAGCCCCTCGAAGTCTCTGAGAAAGGCACCGTCACCTTTGAGGTGGAAGTGTCACATGAGGACATGGAAGGGACCTGGCAGAAGGATGGCATTCGGCTGAAACCTTCACCAAATATCAGTATTGGTGTCCAGGGGAAGAAACATTCGCTGACTCTTTCTTCAGTGTCTCTTGAAGATGCAGGACTCATCTCCTTCAAAGCAGATGGCATTCATACGTCAGGAAGGCTCACTGTCACAGGTACACACACCCGAAAGTCTCAGGCCCTGGTTGATGTGGGACATGGTTGTCTTCTCCTGACTCAGAGCACAAGCTTTTAAAAGAGGAACAAGCTCTCCTTGTAACTGCAAAGGATGTTAAGTACTGGACCATCATCAGTAACATTTCCTTCTAATGTCAACAGGATTATTGTTACATCATTGTCCACAGAACAACTCATGATATTGTATTCAAAACAATAGAATTTTGTTGTCACAAGTTATATTAAGCATGGATGCTAGGCTCTGCCTATTCATTATTGCTTGTGCCAGATGGTCCTGGAGACCTAATTCCTCACTAACTGGACTTTCTCCTTTTACTTTTCTTTTCTTTTCTTTTCTTTTCTTTTCTTTTCTTTTCTCTCTCTTTTTTTTTTTTTTTTTGGTGTGGTTTTTTTTTGTTTTCAGAATTGCCTGTGAGAATCAGCAAACCTTTGGTAGATGTCAGTGTAACTCAGAAGGACAAGGTCACATTCGAGTGTGAGCTGTCCAGGAGCAACGTGGATGTTAAGTGGTTCAAGGTACAGCACTTAATGGATAGTGGTATTTTAATATCTGACTTCTCTGGAAGGGAATGAGAACCTTTAATTTCACTTCCAGGGGATGTGAGTCTGTGCCTTTGCTTATACAGCTCTTAGCATTGCTTTCTTGCCCTTGTGTTCGTTTACTTGCCCAGTTCATTAGTCTCTGTTTTTTATATACTGGGTGTGTTTATCGGGTTGAAAGTTAAACTTTTCTATTCTTGCACAGAATGTGAGTGCTGCTGTTGATAGCAATGCAATCTTGCGCTTTACTTCACACCTAGCAGTTCTCACCCGGGTTTTATAACCTCATTGGGAACTGTGATTTAAGGTGAAGCCTCAGTTCCCTTTGCACCTGACAGACATTTTGGGGATCAGCTCAGGCATTTCATGTACCTTCCTTGGGGCTCAGCTGACACTTGCCTTGCACTGGGATAACAGCATTTCTTCAAGGTAATGTCTGGAGGGGCTTATTGCCAACCCTGTACAGTGTCTTAAGCCTTCAAATAGGTGTCTAAGGTCACCCAAAATGTACAGATATCCTTCAGCCATTCCTACTCCTTGAAAACTTAGCACTGTGCTTTAGTTTCAGTTCCTGCAAGCACAGTTCCATTAAGTCCAATGAGACAAGTGAATTAAGCACAGGTCTGAATGTTTGTTTTGCTCACTGCGGATGTAGAAGAGTTGATGGTGATATCTGGTTTGACCTTTTCCCTTCTAGGATGGGAAGGAGCTCCAGCAAAGTAAAAAAGTGGGGATTATTTCCCAGGGAAATAAGAGAAGCCTCATTATTCATAAGTGTGAATATGAAGACCAGGGAACCTATACTTGTGAAGCAGCTGAAGACAAGACATCAGCTACCCTAAAAGTTCACGGTATGTTTGACTGAAGTAGGAAATTACATCTACTGCAGTATTTTTTACTATGAGCAAGAAATGCTTCCTGGACAGTTTGTGTATTTTGCAATTACTCGTTTTGGACAACTTTCTCTTCCTAGCGAGAAAGTGCTGACATAGCTGTCCTGTGCTTGTTCTGTCCTTAGAGGAGTGTTTTTGGAAGAGCTGCTAACCTAATTTTCCATTTATCATAAGTTATTTTTGGTTCTCTGGAATTTGAATGGTGTTTCTAGCTTGGCAAGTTAGCAAATACTGGACAGCCTGGCACAAAGCAGGGATGCAATGGCTGGTGCTGACATGGTTTGGTTTAGCTTCTGCTATTGTCCCAGTGGGACTTTGCCTGCACAGGGACCGGGCAAGCCTTGGGTATGACCTCAAGAAGTGCCCTGCTTTTTATGTTGTAAATGCTGAGGAAAGGGTCATGATTTCTGACTGCACTTCTCCTTTATGCTCAAGACAGTTTTTCCCTCCATGTGTTGCACTGTGCAACTGGTCAAGCGCCAGATGTGTTTTGTCACCAGGCTCTGAAGCACCAGAGATAAGCTAGTGCTAAAGGCCGGTCGGTGAACAGACAGGTCTGCTGTGCCCTGGCAGATGTTATTTCCCAGAGGGACATCTGAAAAGACAGATCACTTCTTTCTTACTGCTTACTAGATGCTGTCCTCATGTGGCCACTTGAGTTCAGCAGTATCTTCATGAACATCTGTCCTGTTTCATTGCTCTGTTGAATTCTCCCTTTTCTCCTTGACCTGGTGACTGGGATGGGTTGCTGTTTGAATCCGGGCTGGTTTGCATTTGAACTCTGCTCCTGAGGCTAATCCAAGGTGTATCAAGGCCTTCCCTTTCAAAAGGAAAGGGTTGCAGTAGCACAGAAATATGGGTCAGTTCTGACATAAATTAGTGCAAAGCTGCAGAGTTGAAGGGGATTATACTGAGTTCAGAGGGCTCTGAAGAAAAGGTATCTCCTGGGTAAAACATGTGGCTGACATCCCTGTGGCTGAAACAGTCCAGACACACAAGCAGGGGAGGGAGAGGAGATCATGCAGAGAAGCATGTGAATGAGAAAGGTTTATAGTGACACAAGAGATTGTAGGCT